ATCAAATGCCCGCAATCGCTATGCATGCCAAGTAGAAAAGCAAGAAAATAGGTGAATCTACAATATACTTACATTATTATAATCGGACTTTGCGGAGCTGGTTAAATATTAATCATGGCTGCAAGTCCCAAAATTATTGGGTTTACAATACCCACAATGCCTGGGCAAAGGGTTTGGTACGTTAATTTAAGAAAAACTTATCATATTTACAAATATTTAAATCAAGTTTTTAAATTTAAATTTGGCTTAACAATATATCTAGTAATGATAATGAGGAGGGTTCGAATCGCGTGAATATAGCTCAATTTCGATTTCGAGCCCGCCCGTTTAAAGCCTTCAAATATTTCCATAAGTAATGCCGGCTTTGGTTGCCTTTGGGCATCTTAAGAAATTTCGTGAGCAATTGGTGCAGAAAATATTTTTGTAAAACGGCAACCGTGACCAAAATACATGCATATTCTATAGATAACTCTCTCTCTCAATCTCTCGTCTCTAAATGCATTGGAACTTATCCAAATTGTCGATATATAAATATCCATCGTCAGGCACGATCTTTGTCGTTCCCGTCGGTCAACGTCGCCCAATCGGCCGCAACTGCATTGCTCGTGCGCCTCACCCATGTGCAGTGTCTCCCCTCTCTCCTCTACCCTCTACCATCCTACCTGAACATGCCCCCATGCCCCCGCCCGCCACTTGCAGCTTCGGCTGTAGCAGATTTCTTTACCAGGTAGCCGATTCGTTCGCATCTCTTTCGTAAATAATGCCAAACATGACAAATGAATGAATACTTCCTGAATTACGGCATAGCATTATGTAAGATCAGATCTGGCATAGATATGACAATTATCTATCTATTAAAACTGATTACTTGGCATTTAGGCGCATTCGCCCCATTTTGAACTGAAGCCTCGGCTATCAATCACTTATGAGGCCATCAACTGTTTCGGTTGTGCAAAGATTTGGCATTGAACCCGTTTCTGATGATTTATAACAACACAAATTTCGTCTCAATTAATATTATACCCAATATCAAGTTGCCTTTAAGTGGGCAAAAATAAACTCTATTTTGCATAACCTTCTTAAAACAAGGGCATAGTTTCTTCAGCTAAATAGTGATAATTAACAACTTTTATCACACTTGTTAAGAAATAATAATATCAAGAATATTCCAAATTTCACTCTGTCCATTTGATATAGCGTGACCTCTATATACTTTATACCCCATCTCTGATTTTATAGCCAAAGCAGTTGCTCGATTCTTGTCAAAATAAGAAAAACTCGTAATTTAGTTAGTTTCAATGTGGTAAACTTGTTGGACAAATATTATGCCTAGAATATTAAGGTAGTATAGTTTTAATTTAAGATAACCTGAAAGCAACCAGCATTGGTTAAGAAATAAATAATTAAATAAATTAAATAAGTGTATCTTCGAAATTTAATCTAATGCTATTACTAAAAATTTAATTTCATAGCTTTGTCACAGCTTTGGTTTAATCTTTAGGCTCAATTTTATAATAATTTTTAAAAATTTTGTTAGGCCTTGTCAAATTGTTTCAAGAATTAATATAATTTAATTATTTATTATTACAATTTCTTTCCATATAAAAAAGAAAAGAATAAATTGTAAAAAAAAATAAATAAATAAATGATATGTTTACTGAAACTATTAAAAAATCCTAGCAAATTTCTTAAAAATAAGTAATAGATTTCAATTAAAATGCAATTAATGGCATAATAAATCGAAATAGAGCTTAAGTAAATAATTAAAGCATATACAAGTTAAGTTCCTGCATTTATAATATATGATACCTATGCGTGTGGTTATATATTGATTAATTGCCTCGGCTCAATTGAGAATCAGACACGCGTTATTTGAATAAATATATATATATATATTTCCATATGGCTATATATCGTTTCTTAATTACCCAATAAAATCGAATCATTTCGACTTAGTCATTGATGTGTGGAGCATTAAAATTATTTTGGTAAGCATTTGTCACCCAATTAAATTGACTGCACACATACCGCGAATGTGCATAGAACTCAAGTGCATCCGAATGCAATAATCAATGTATGTGCATTTGTAGGTGCCTTCTGCAGACGGCCAGACTTTTATTAATGATGAGTGAAAATGCTAAATGAAAATGTTTTTTGTAAAACGCAAAACAGAGGCTGCTGCTGCGCTAAGGCCCCCCATGAATTTGAGCGCTACGCAGCCCCCCACGGGCGACGCCACTGCGCGCAATTGATTAATCATATGCGAAATGCTATAGACAGTCACTGAAATGAGTCAGTATAGCAAATACATTAGCGCATACATATGTGCTGCATATGAATGTAGATATAAGATTTTTCTTAAATTTATTAACGACAAGCTAAAAGTATTTTTAAAACATATTTCATACTCCACGCACAGGTAAAAGCCAAAGCGGGATTGTATAGAACATAGATGTCATATATATACCTATATGTATATATCTGTATATATATATATATATATATATATGGGTCAGTTCTTGGGCTGCTGAAGCCGTTGTCGGCCATTGGAGCTGTAGCTGAGGCCATGTGCTAAGCTTCCCCAAAACGAACGAACATAAACAACAACAGTTGCGCGCAGCTCACATCGAGGTGTGCATATATACACTATGGCTATATACATGTTAAATACATATGTGTATGTATGTATCTACTAAATCTAAAAAACATTCATATGCGTTTAATATAGCCGCTGCTTTGGTCTAAATTTAAAACAAAAGCTATTTAGTTGCGAAGAAGCGAAGAACTTCACACAAATGAAATTTGTTCTGTGCAGCCGTATCTCGTGGTGCTGCTTGTGGCTATTTCAAAATATCTATACGAATATCTAAAATTTACTAGACACACACACACACACACACACACACACACACACACACAGAGTGAGGGAGAGAGAGGAAGACAGACACACAGCCGGGGCCAAAAATCGTGGCTGTGTCCTGAGCAGCGCAAAAGCATACGCCGTGTGGTCCGTCCAAATGTATCTCACAGATACAGATGCGCATCCGCAGAGCTGTATCTGTCGAAAGTAAAGCAAATAAGACAAAAAAAAAAGAAAGAAAACTCTTGCCAGTCAGGCACTGCACAATCACATCCACATTCATACAGTACACACAGTCACGTCCCGTTTCTGTAGTGCAGTGTTGGATTTTTCATCTCGAAAATGTTTCAATTTGTCTATTTTTAGTCGCAAGTTTCTTTTTGTTTATTAGTTTTGTGCCTTTTGCCTGTATCTCTGTGTGTGTGTGTGTAGTATATAGCCAATACATACATATATATATATACATACATTATATATATATATGTATATTTGTATAGCAGTGGGTCGTACTCGATTCGACTGATGTTTCGGCAATGCTCTACCCTCCCCTCCGCCCGTCTCGTCATCTCTTCTTTGCTCTGCTCTGATTTAACGTCACAATTGTGGAATGCTTTGGCTCTGGGGCTTCTGCTGGATACGCACGCATTGTTTAGCTTGTCTTTCATTTGTTTTTCCCACAATTGTTATTATTGTAAAGCTCAAGGTATAACTAGATACATGCTCTGTTTAGTACATGGCATATATATCACAAGCATTCGATCAGCTTCAGAGAACTAAGGTCAAAACATTTTGAAGCAAAGGTGTCATAACTTATCCTATATATGTACATATATATTTATATGCATATATATACTCATATACATAAAGACATATACACATGACTGCCTTTACGTAAGCCCGGCATCTTTAGATGCTGCTCTAAATCAGCAAAAAGTATTCGAATTATATTTATATAAAAGTTTTCCTAAGAAAAGTCCTTAACATTCGACAGATTTAAGTCTTTCTATCTAGTCCTTTAATTAGTCTATTAATCTATCTTTTTGATTAGGGCTTACCTTAAGTTAAGTAAAGTAAAGTCCTTGCGAGCCATTCTGTTGTAGGATTTTCCGGAGCTTAGCTGCAAATATTCTAATTAAATAATCGTTGCAGAGAACATTATTATAATTTATCAAGTGAAATATATATACCATTATTTCTTTGGTTTAACGATCTTCGACTAAGCCCTTGAATACATTGAAGAAAAGTAAATATTGATTTATCCCCTGGTGAATGCATCCATTCGATTCACTTGTGCAGTCTTCTTTATGAATTGTCATGATTCAACAAATAAACACATAAAGCCATAAAATGCCTACTAAAACGCTGATTTCCCATCGCCATAGACATGGCCATAGATATTTTCCATAGCAATAAAGAGTATCTGTTAGACGTGTATTTGCGCGCACATCGTAAACAATTATAAAGAATATGTTTTGGTAATTTAACACCCGAAACATGGTTAACTCCATGAAAATCTAACACAAACAAGGCCATAATCCAGCCAGGCACTACACATGTTTTTGATACGCCGATTTGTGGAGTTACAGTTGCAGTTGGATACGAGTATCTGGCATAGACGCGCTCTAACACCTGGCGCCCTTATCGGCGGGTAGAGACACTCAGAAAAAAACTGAGAATGAAACTAGTAGAAAATATTATACTATCAAATTCTGAGTGAGATTCAAATTTCGTTAGTTAAGGATAATCTTGATATTGGAAGAACTTTCAACAAAAATTCCTTCACTTGCTACTAAAATTCTAAAACTTTCTGTGAAGTAGCTTTTTTCAGCTCTAAACTTAATTAAAATGTAAATCTCTCTATAAAGAAATTTATTCAAAATCAGAAACTTAATCTAAATAATAATGAATTTCATTTTAAAGTCTTTTTAAACATTTTTTGTCTGCTCAATCGCAGCATATTAATTTGGAAAATTTTGTAGCTCAAATTAAAAAAATATGAACGCATACTTACATGTATTACTGCGCTTTTCTCTGAGTGTACCGCGCTTCAGCAAGCCGCATAAATCAATATTAGCTTATCATGACCAACTGTGAGAATTTTTGCAGGCCGGCCAAAGATATTGCGAATGTGTCAGGTTCTGCAGATATTACGGACATTGGAGACATTGACATTCACTTTGTTTTCACTTTTACGTGCGCGCTAACCTCCTCCTCAGACCATGGGCTACTGGCTGGAGCTAAGAGCCTGGCTCCTGCGCGATCCTGCCAAACTCATACGCTATCTCGTGCTCTTCGTCTGCAGCATAATCGTTATAGTGCAGCTCTACGAGTGCTTCTCCAAGCTGTCCGATCCGCCTATATCCACGCACTCGTATTATAATGTTAATCACACCATAGAAATGCCTGCGATTACGCTTTGTCGCGAACCGCCCTATCGAGAGGATGTCTTAACAGTGAGTCCCAGTGATAGAAAGAAAGACTTTTTGATGACGTGAGATGTCAATGTCTAAAATTGAGGCGACTATATTTAAAAGTTCTATGAAAAGTTAATTGCAATCATTTTTTTTTGTATGACAACGCCTTGAATCTACAAATTAATAGATTAAAAAAGTTTTGATATCGATATTTTTTTTGTTTCAATAAAATTTGTAAAAAACTCCTTGCCTTTGTGTACTGATACTTACAGAATATATCGCGTGGCTATTGTCCACATCCCAAGTATGCGACCTGTTGGATGGATTATCCTTTTGGTGAAGTTCCCTTTGAAGAGTTCTTTGCCAATGGCACTTTTGAACAGGACGAGACATTCTACCTATATGGATTGAATGGCGATAAGAATAGTAAGTGCAGCTCCGCACAGATTCAATGGAGTATCAACTCTGATTCTTCTGATTCTTCCACAAGATGTTGTCATCGACAGCAGCATACACTTTTATATGGGTCGCTGTTACACTCTGCGTCCAGTCACGGCCATGAAACGGGTATCCAGGGCAGCGGGCTATTCCCTAATGCTAGAGCATAATGCCAACAAAATGGCCAGCGATGTGGATCTAACGGCTGGCGCGGGCTGGCACGTGTTCATACACGACAAGCGCGAGAACTTTACGGGTAAGTTGCTTTTGTGGTAGAAGCAGGGGCTAACTACAGTGCTTACTGCCTATAGAGATCAACATGAAAGGCTCGGGCCGCGTGGAGTATGTCTTTGTGAACATCAATGAGGAGATTGAAATTAAGCTGCAGAGCCAGGTATTTTCAAATGTGGAAACGCACACCGAAACCTGCTCCAGAGCGGACGGATACAGTGATCTAAAGGTAATCAAATTAGATTCCCGAAAAGCTAAATATTCTGATACATCATGCATTACATAGTGCGGCGAAATATGCATCTGGCAAGATCTGGGCGATGAGGTGGACTGCTCGGGTCCCTGGATGCATGAGATTAATCACGAGCCCTGCAATAATACGAAATCTATGCGCAATCTCATCGAAAACTACAGAGCGTGAGCCGCACTCTCATAGTTAAATTTGCGCATTATCATATAGTATTTTCACATATTTTCAGGGTGTACGAAAGCAGCGATGATTACGAGTGCGACTGCCTGGAGCCATGCGAGTCGCGCATCTATACGACCTACATACAGAGCCGGAAAACCTTCTATCAGCCCGAGCCGCGCACTTTGCTCTATATATACTACACGACCAAGCTGATATCGGTATGCTAATTGTTATTGATTTCCTAGTATTATATATCTATATATCGATCGCTTAGTATTTTATTATTTATATGTAGCCACTATTTGCTTAATTTATATTTCTAATTCCACAATATTCCATAATTCCAATTAACAATATTCAGGTTGAACCAGAGTTTAAGAAAAACAGAAAAGAAAAAAAAACTTTAAAAATGTTATATAGAAGTGCTAATATTCCCGCTCTGTTTCAGCAGATGATTGAAGAGCGTCCCAGCTATGATACAACCCAGTTTATAGCCGATGTCGGTGGCTCTCTGGGTTTTCTGCTTGGCCTCTCAGTGCTTGGCATCATCGGCATCTTGGAGCATGTAAATATATTCCGGGATTTGTACAATGCGGTTGTCAATTTCAAATTCTCCTTTCAGCTAACATTATTCTTCTGCGGCGACTGCATAAAGCGCCTCCAACTGAAGAACGAGCAGCGCAATCGCTCCGACAGCCCCGAGGATGGGCAATCGCAGGCCAGCGTCGAGACGCTGGACATCAATGACGTCTTCACAGTGGAGAAAGCGCAATTGGGCAAATATTGAATGTGCTGTGAATGTGTGTCTAAATAAATTTCTTATATTTATTCAAAAACTACAAGCTAGAAAACTACATTTAATTATATAACAGCGCATTGGAATATATTGTTGTTGTATATACAAGGGGCTGACCTTTAGAGCAGCCAGGAGCGCAGCTGTAGACAGCAGCCGAGCAGCAGGGCGCCCAGACTCAGTTGCAGAGCAGACGCAGCTGACTTCGAACCAGCAACAGAGTTTGAATCCTCTGCCGTCTTCAACTTGATATTCGTCCTGATCACCTCGCCCAGCTTGCTGACCAGCTCCGGCAGCGGCTTGGGCGCCTCACAGGCCGTATGCTCAATGGCCTCCCGAACGCTGGCCGTGAATATGCGGAAATTGATACTGCCCGGATATAGCTCGTCATAGATGAAGCTTTGCAGCTGGTTGGCCAGCACCCACAAGCGCTGCTGATCATCCACCTTGACGTCGCTGGGAAAGATCAGATTGTTGTTATTGGTGTAGATGTGGTCCTGCGAGCTAAAGCTCTTTGAGGTTCTCCAGCAGGCCACGGCATTCTGATTGGGCAGCGTATAGAAGAGGACGCCCGTCTCCGTGTCCAGGCACTGAGCACCCGCTTGGGCATTGACGCCGCGTGAACCTAAAATCTTAAATTCACGATAAATGGCACCGGAGGTGGCCAGCGTCTTGTTGCGTAGCACAGAGCTGTTCACAGAGAACTCCATGGTCGAGCTGAGTGGATGGAAATAGAGCGTGGAATAGCCATCTGACTGAGGCTTGGACAGCGCTAGTCCATACAATCCGTCATCCCACTGAAACTCAATGCCATTGATGCTAAAGTTACCCGCAAGCGGATTGGGATGAAAGAAATGATGCTGGACACGCCAAGATTCCTGATCCCGCCATGAGTACACCACCAGACCCGGACTGCCCAGATCAGCGGCATACGCATACGTGTTCTCGCAGTCAGCATCCTCCACGGCTAGATTGGCAAAAAATGAGCTCTGCTTGCTCTGACCCGCTGGCAAGATGTGACGCCGCAGCAGATCATCGTTGTGCAAATCGTAGATCAGCAGCTGTGCCGTGCCATACAGCTTGGTCTGCTCCAGCACACCCGAGATGCGTGAGTCCAGCACCCAAAGGCGACCACAGCGATCGGCCTTCACGCGAAATGGCGAGACAAGCTCCGGCTCGGCATCGCTCAGGGTATGCGCCACCCAGCTGGGAAAGGGTCTCAGCGCGGGCATCTTTGTTGAGGTGTCTGTTGGGTATAGAGTATGCGAACAAGCACGTTTAATTTATGGCATTTAACTAAGTTGAATGCTCTACAAATGGCACACGCGTTGATTTTGGTCATTTGCATTGATGCTAATTGCGACTCAATTGCGTATGAATCAATGCCTCCGACTGGCCGCTGATTCATGGGACATGTTTGTCAGCTGAGCTGCTTTGACATATATGGAGCCCGATTATTGTACAACTTGTAATACCCTTGAATGACTAATACTCAGAAGGAAGGTAGTGAATGTGGTAGATTAGTGGAACCTTAAGAAAGCATTTATATCTGCAGATCAGCCTTTTGCTACCTATACCCAGTCTAAGTGGCTGGGTATAAGCCCAGAGATTTAGGGAGTTAAAGATATTTAAATTTGATTCACGGTTCTTGGGGATTTGTGAAAGTTACCCAGTCAATCAAGCAATAAGGAACCGAGTTGTAATAACAGGAAACAAATTTAAATCCGATTTCATACAGATCTCTGAAACATGCGTACTGACCCACACATTTGCATATTATATTGCAAATTATTTTATATCCGCACTCAATTATCTTTATCAGCTATATAAGCCGATCTGACCGACTCTTATATATACCATATAATTATTTTCTGCCATGCTAATAAGCAGGAAAAATGTTTAAAGGTTTCCATGTGGATATACCTTTCCGTTTATCGGAAATAATTGATTTAAATATACACATGATCTTTACGATGCGTCAGGAGAATAAATATTTCCTCCCAGATGTTTACATCCCACAACTATACACCTTAGTTTTGTATATAGATACATTTATATGTGCATATACTATCTATCAAATACATACACCCACCCTCTATGTGTTTATTATTAGTTGTATTTGTTTATTTACTCTATTCCAAAGAACTTTTGTTTATCTCGCTTTTATTGTTGTTGTTGTTTTACAGCTTATTAATTACGTAAGCGATGCGCTGAGAATTCGCCCAGAACTCTCAACCCTCAGGCAATTAAATGCAACAAGTGCGAATGCAAGATAACTAAATTGTCTGGACCGTGTATGAAATAGAGCTGAGCGCGTGTCTTATTTTCATGTCACGAACTTAACACGAAAAAAAAATAGCATTTACTGTAACCTGGCCAAAGAGATGATGCCAGAACCTAACACCCAATTAGCCACTTTTCTATACGCCCGCTGTCAATTTATACTTCGTGTTCGTGCCGTGTTGAAAAAAATTGGCACGCGCCCATCTCTAGCATAAAGCGAACGCAATGCAAATCTATCCGATACAAAGCTATAGCCAAACAGCTTGTAAGTCCCACGCGAAAAGACAATGCAATAGCTGAGATTTCAGCTCAGAGCGATTCTTAAGCATTATGCATAAACAAAACTGCAATTTTTGCCGGCTGCCCCTGAATTAATTATACAATACTAACAACGCTTACCATTCAGATCAAGGTAGGCCAACGAGGCTGGGACTCCATCGCGCCATCTGGGCAGAGTTACGAACAGGCGCTGGCGATAGACCTCGAGGCCAAAGGGTATCACATTGGCCGGCTTGAAGGCGCCGCTTTCTATGGCCGACCAGCGTTGATCGGGACTCTCGTATTTGAAATCCATTTCCCTCCATTCGTAAGCCACACGCAGATTATCTTTGGCTCCGGCCAAACCCACGCAGAGCAGCAGCGCTGCCGTCACAATCCAGGCACAGGTAGTTACCATATTCAAGCTGCAATATTAAATGTTATGGACCAAATTAATCGAGTTAGAGCTGACCTTCACAAAGCCATAAAATCGAGATCAAATATATATTGCTCTTGAGTTGAGTCGAGTTGCGTTGAGTTGATTGAAGCTCCGGATGCTAAAGCGAACCGAAATCGAAACCTTAAGCCGCGCCTCCGTTGTGCATAAGTCAATTTGAAAGTTGTCCCCGTCATTCGGCTCTCTGAGCTGGCAATTTGGAAACTGTCAGACAAGAGTGAGTCTTGGCTATTGTAGCATGTTCGAGAGGTTGTCAGCTTTGTGTTAGCTTGACAAGCGAATACTCTAGAAAGCATGCATCTGGGTAAAGGTAATAAATTGCTATAAATAATTGCTTTACAACTACAAATATTAATAGCTTATCATTATCATTATCATTGTCAATTTGCTTAGTTCTTTAAAGTTGCATTAGTGGGCGGTTTACAGGCTCGAATCCCAGACTATAGTCAGGTTGCAATATCTTAACTGAACACTTTAGTAGTCAATTTCGTTTAACTATACCCTATACCAACTCTAATAACAAGCTGGAACTTTGGTTTATTAGTTCTCTATATAATACAAGAAATCCATTATCAAAAGTATCATATACCATTCGTTCTGAATTTAAAGTTTATTAAGCAAGCATATAAAGATTGGAGCACTTGTAAGCATGCTGACAGGGTTGAAGTTATGTAGGAATATTTACTTCAGATAGTAATTTAATGTTGAGATTGAGATGAATTGGCGGCAAAAATAACTTGTAAACATGGCAACACTCAGAAAGCTTAAGCTTTTCAAAATTGTAACTCATAAAGAACTACTAAAGCTCAAAAGCCGAAGAAACTTAAATTAATGAACAAATTTCAAATATATGTCTGAGATCTTAGAGTGTAAGATCTTCAATAGGAAAGGGATAACAATAACCTTAGATATCTTGAATAAAGGGACATTTTAGTTCACGCTCAAGTTTGAGGTTCGGCCAGCACTTTGCAGATATATAGCCCAGATAGCTCTGGCATTCATTGTTTCATTTGGGTCGCTCAGATCTTCGACTCTTCTCGCACGTCTCGTCAGGGCCATTAACAAACTCAATGACTGATGTGTCTGTCTAACACTCGAGTTATGGCTTGAGTGCCTGTTGTTATGTTGCCCTCTTATATTCATTTACTTCTGATGTGCACGTTCTGGTCAGGTTTGTTTTTTTTTTTTGTTGTTTTTATTTTTTTATAATTTATTACAAGCATTTTTCGCGAGTCTTGCTTTCAGGCATATTCGCTTTTGGGCCTTTTGCTTGGCGAGTCGGCTTCAAATACTCGTTTAACGCTCTGAAAAATTCAAGTTTTTGGCCATGTAATAGCCAAATGCTTTTTATTTTATGTGCGGTCTTTGAGACACATTAATATATTACTTTATATTTTTGTAGTCTTGGGTTCTTAATTACCGGTGGACAACATAAAAATTTTAGCGATTTTTATTGGCAACTCGTGAATAATAATCAATTTTTTTAGCTGATGTGAATTAGTCACTGGCGGCTTTTTTTTAAAAACTATTACTTAATACGATTTGTTGGCCAAATCAAAAACCAACAGCCCATGCACTAGCGACAGTTGAAAGTAAAGGCGTTAGTGGGCTGAGGGGCGTGTCAGTTGTTATGCAAACGTTTTGTCGCACATTCGCCTGCAAGTTTGTGTCTTAAGTCTTTTGTTTTGCCAGATTCATTTCGATTTGAGCCAATCTTTAACTTGTTTGACTAACACTCTATGGCGAGTACAGTAAGCACACAAACACACACCTTCAAATTGTCGCACAAGATATCCAAAAACACAACCGACATGAACGACGCTCGCAACGAAACTGAAAGCCCAATGAGACAAACCCGAGAGTTATGCCGACTTAATGCCGAGCTTGGGCCAGCATGAAGTCTTTGAAGCTGTGCATACGCGACGTCTTTGGAATTCCAGTGAACTTGAAATTAGTCAGTCTAACGTATTTATGTATTAGCGTACAGTCTTGGGACGGCTCTCAGTTCAGGCGTTACAGAAATCGGTTCCATCAAATGCCAAGTAGTAGCAAATTAACGGCTCGCAGTTATTATGGATACTCCCACGACTATGCTTGCTTTTGGCCCTGCTGCAGACAAGCCCCTGAAGCAAGTCCCACACATAGCGCGATAGGCCTACAAGTGACTGAGCTATTGGCTTTAATCATATAATTGTAATCGCAGCCAGCCAGACGCAGCCATCCGCGGGGAATAGCCCATGAGTAAAGCAGTTTTTGGGTTTTTGTTGAACTGGTTCTCTTAACCTGCAGCCAGTCATGCTTTGCGTTCGATGAGAGCGGGTGAAAGATTCCAGAACAGTTATGCTCGGTCTGCTAAAAATTGACTCACCTTCATAATATAACTTGATCGGGTCTAGTATAAGACGGATTGTTTCTTTTCAATAAGGGTTAACTTACTTTTAAATCGCATCAAATTCATTTACATATATTGGTCAGAAAGTTTCTCATCAATTGCGAAAAATCCACGCCTGCAAGTGAAATAAATGTCGAACACGGGCGAAAAAGGGGTGGAAATGAGTTACAGCTACTTTAATTCCACCTCTTTTCCGCACATGTTGAAGTGTATTTCACTCGCAGATAATCTATATCTATATCTATGGATAATCTATAATCCAGCTTAAAACCGTCAGGCACATTAACTCTTATTTATATGAAGTAAATTTTATTTATTAAAATTCAATAAATTAATTTAAATTTAAAAAGAAGAGAACAATCAAAACATTAAACTAGAAATATTATCAGTATGCGATTTGTTTTTGTTTTTGTTTTTTTTTTCGTTTAAAAGGACTTTAAACTATTGCTTATATAACCTGTTTGTTGTTATGCTTAAAGTATGTTGTGTATGTTTTTATATATATATATCGTTTTTTTTTTTTTTTGGTAGAAACATTTCTTGTACAAACGCTAAAATGTATATTTTTTTGTGTTTTTACTCATTACAACATTTAAAACTTTCAACATACGCAATGTATTCAATTTTTTTTATTTTGATTTTATGCATTTGCACTAAATATTAATTGCATTAGCTAAGTATTCGTGTAGTAAATTGTTTATAGATTGTAATTAGCAGAAAGAACAAACCATGTTCACAAAAAAAAACATTACAAAGATACGCTTATTTTGTAGGCTTTAGTTAAATGCAACAAAAACAAAAAAAAAAAACGAATCAAAGCTTGTAAACGTATTATTTGATCAATTAATTTACATATTTAAATATGACATATTGAATATACCTTGAGTTCGAAAGTGCGCTCAGGCGGCGCACAAAAATCATCTTTGGCAAAGGTTTAAACTAGACTTGTTGATTGTTGAACGCCGCCGCGTTAACTTTTAAAGCATATTTATCGAAATTGTTATCGAAACTGTTATCGGGCGAAAAACCAATTAGGGGACATCAAAAATAGCAAAATCCATAATCCATAAAGAAAATTTTTAATCACAATTAACATTAAAAACACAAACTGTTTGATGCCTGCGTTTGCGATGCATTACAAATGATGTGGGCGTGGTCATCGTGAACGCCTCCTGCGGTATGCATATGTGTGTGTATATGAGTGAGTGAGTGAGTGAGTGTGTGTGTGTGTGTATATAGAGATATATAAGTTGTAGAGCTTTTGCAAGACAAGGACCGAAAAGTCCAACAGTTGTGTTAGGCAACTGTGATGTGCATATTGGCGCGGGGGGAAGAGGTTGTAAAAATAAGAGAGGGCAGCACATCGCCTGCGTCGTTAAAAGGTGGATAAGGGACAAGTTGAGTCGCACTTAAAACGCACTCAATTTAGGAGAAAGAGAGAGAGTTGGACGCAGGGAACTTTTCGCTCAGCAAAATTAATGTGACACGCTTTCGACTGGACGCGCAGAACAATTACAGATTGTTTTTAGTAGAGTATAGAGTGTTCAGTGTGTATTGAGGTCTGCGCTTTGTCCAGCTACTCGCGTGTCGCCCAGCGCTAAGGACAGACATTGGTGGCTCGACGTATAAGATAAAACACACACCTATAAGAAACTACTTAGTTCGGTTTTTGTACTTCAAATAAACGCGTGCAGCTTACAATTAGTTATTGTACAATATATGGTACAGTAGTATGTATCGTAAAGTTTACAAATATAGATCAAGAAATGAAAACGAGTAAGAAAAGTTATCTTCGGATGGCCGAAATTGAAATACCCTTGCAGCCAAATACATCTAAATAACAAAAATATAAAACAAACAAAAAAATTATACGATAAATATCTTAGAGGCAAAAAAAAATGTGTTTACGAAAGCCTTAACTTATCGGGAGAAATATTAATTAATTGCCCGATCTAAATAAAAGGGTCCATATCGAAATGTTGAAAAAAAGAGAAAAGTAACAAGCGTTAAAAATTTGATCGATTCTTCCAAAACAATTGGAACAATGCAAAGTTTTATAAAAAAAACTAATAAACGGACATAGCTATTAACATGAAAACTTAGTTAATATTTATATATACGATTGCTTTATTTTATGATCAATCTCTGCAAGAGTATAATAATAAACTAATTCAGCTAAATAATCAAACTTTGACCGTCACCAATATATCGAAATAAGAATAAATAGATTTGGATATTATGAAAAATCCATTAAGTATAGTTTTACGAAAAAACAATTACAAAACGCGGCCATCAAAAACATATTTACAGATGCGTTCATATTAAAGATACGATAGTTCTTGTCAAGTACTTAACTAGTAGTTATGAGTATGTGCGTGTGCGTGTGTGTGTGTGTGTGTGTGTGTAAGTAGCCACCAATTAATTACCGACTTCTGTCTGTCCCGCATTGAGGTACACTCGTCTGAAGCACGCCGTTCTAACATCGCATAACACCACCAGCCCACTGGATCAGGGGAAGGGGCGGGGCATCGGTAAGCGATGCGGCGAAAATGCCAGACCCGAGAGTCCAACATCAATTTTGCGCTAAACTGGCCAAACTAACGGTACAAAACCGTCAAAAGTGGCAGTTTTTTCACTTGTCATTGCTTACGCTTATGCTATATGGTTATAGTTACATATATATATATATATGGAGATATATAGGTATACGATATAGGATATATGAGTTATAAATACAAGTTAGTGTGGTATGGTGTTTGATAGTTAGGGACGTTTGGGGGCGGTGTATGCTAATATTTGACTAGCCTAGGCTAACACTGGGAAAGAGTATTCTGTTCAGACCGATTCTGGAATCATGCCAGAACTCAATTTATATATATATATAGTGTACTACACCCTTTGATTTTCAAGCTACAATAGAAAAACAATGAATTGAGTGAACAACTTAGCAGCTAAATATCTAATTATACGTAGTTATAGATGTGGACTTGAGTAATAGCCACTAATAAAGCCTCAGCCTGATTGTGTTAAACTTTTGTTGCCTAGGAAGCTAAAGTTATGGAGTCTGTGAACCAATGGAAGAGCACTACATTAACGAAGGAACTAACTATGGATTGCTAGATATATAGATCGAAACAAATAGTAAACTATAATGAATGTACTTACTAACAATGTGCGGTATTTAACTGGAAACGTTGAAAGAACTATTTTAATAACTATTGATTTTTGAATGGATTTTGATTTTGATTTAGATTAGTACGATACCATAACCAAGACAAATTATTTAGGATATTATGTTTAAATGATTAATAAAAGAAAATGATGTAGATACCTGATTGTGGGCTGCGCGCATCGCATTGATGCTGACCAAAACGAAACAAAGTGTGTTCAAAACGAAAAACAAATACTTTTTTTTTGTTGTTGAATAAAAATTTGTACATAACTTACGAGTAGTTTTGTCAGCGGCTAACGAGTACGAGTAACGAGTAACGGATAACGGGTAACGAGTAACGAGTGGATGAGAGACGACGGTTTTTTTTTATCTTTTGGTTTTTATGTCACAGGGCGGGGAGGAAAGGGGGCACATAAATGCAGTTATGGGTTACATATATTCATATTGTATAACAGTATGTATAACAGTTGTGGAGCATCGCACATTGGACAATTAACTAAAATAAAAAGCTACGCACAGACAATACAAATTCGCACACAATATTACAATATATGTATTGCTATAATGTATTTAAATAATTGCCCGATTCTTACCCGGGGGGAGCGTACGGTTTCGTTTCTATCTGAGAATAAAGACATGGCAAAAAGGAGAGAGAGAGAGAGAGTGAGTGAGCGAGTATAACAACGTGTACATACGTGTTTTCTTTTGTTATAGGCTATAAATTAGACGGGGCGTACGAATGCTTGAGCCCCAGAGCACTAAATGTAACTAAAAAAATATTTATATAGAAAAAATAATGAAAAGAATGTAAACAAATATACATTATTTATGGTATTATTTTAGTAAATAAGTATTATGTAATTTGCTGGTATTGTACAAATACGGTTACAAATATAACTAGAGAGATAGAGATAGAGAGAGTTATATGAGCGAAAGAGAGTAAGAACTACAGCAACAGTACAGCAAAGAGAACCGCGTGCCAGCAAAGAGAGCGCCAGATGAGAAGCGATGCGATGCAATGCGATTCACTTCGCACTCGTACACAGCGTAGTGTTGTTTAATTGTTACAGTGTTGATTAGTGTTTTGACAAATATGTAGTATGTTGTTATGCAAGAAGGCAGAGAGTGCACATACCAGTTAACCAATTGATGTTAAAAAAAAAAAATATATAGAGTAGAAAAGTTAAGAATTTGGTCAATTACGAAAAGCAAAGTTTGGGTGCATCAACTAGGAGATACTCGTACATATAAAAAGTATTACTACGCATATTGCTGTTAGTGTATCTGTGTGTGTGTGTCAGTGTGTATGTGTGGGTGCAACCTGTGACTGTGTGACGTGTGTGTGTGTGTGTGTGTGTACGTATCTCAAAACTGTTATACATTTAAAAAAGAGCTTTTGGAATTGCGTAGCTTGAGTATGAAAACTTGCTTGCAGTTGTTGTGATTGCTTTTTCTTTGCACTAGTTGTTGTGGTTTTTGTTAATCTGCAGCGGCCACTCCTCTCAATCATGGAACAGCAACGGCAGCGGCAAACCCACCAGCGATGCCTGCGCTTGAGCCTGCGGATGCAGCGCCGGCAATCCGGCCCGCTGAAAACGCACATGCTGTGGATGTGTCTGCGTTGGCGCCTGCAAGAGTCCGGGCGCAGCAGCGGGCAGGCATCATCTGAAACGCGGCTGCATCATCTGCAACATATTCGGATGTCCTGGCAGCATTACGCTCATGCCCGGCATAGGCATCGCGCCAGCAGGCAAGCCGGGATATCCAATTGCCTGCATGGGCAGCAAACCTGCAAGTTTCGAGATTTTAATTCGAGATTCTTTTCACACAAATACCTAAATATATAAATGCGCTAGTATAGCCGGTACACCCGCCTTTGCAAGGGAAACTTTTTCCCATCTCCTTTTTTCACCCACATCTCATAAAAGGGAAACAAAATAAAAAGAGCTTTCATACAAAATTTTCCAACAATTTTCTAGAATCTTAACTTGATGAAACCTGAAGACTCACCTTCTGAGACTTTGACCATCAATTCTGTTTGCATAGATCTTTAAGATCTTTCCACCAAGTTTCCACAAGAAGTTAATAAAGGTCGTCCTTAGTCGGTCAGTCAGTCAATCAATCAGTCAGTCTGACAGTACTCACCTGCTGGCATGCCGGGCAGCGGACCAGGACGCAGCATGTTGCCACCTATCAGGGCGCCGTGAGGTCCAATGGCTACAGTTCCGGGTCGCAGCATGGGCTGCATTAACTGCACATGACCGGGCAATGGCATCTGCAGGTTGTGGACCAGATGGGCGTTGCGTAAAGATACAGAAGAGCATGGAAGAGAGGTAGAATTAAAGGGTTTTAGTTGCATTCTGATGAACGTATTGGGGTGTGTATATCGAAGCCATTGTACACAAAATTAGCTAAGTTGTTATTAATTATGTTTTCTTTTTTTTTTTTTTTGTTTTGTTTTTTTTTTTTGGTTTTCTTGTTGGTATTTAGAATATATTAATAATAAGTTGGTTTTTGCGTACTTATTCTTTAAATGAATAAAATAGATGTGTGTGTGTTGTTGGTGTTGTTGTTGTTGTTGTTGCTGTCGAAACTTTTGCATCGCATTACAATGTTACAATGAGATATATATAGATACATATACATATATATATATATATATATATAGAGAGAGAGAGAGAGACAGATAAAGAGAGCAACTCTTCTCCTTTTACATTGTTTGTGGAAAGCAATTTGCTTTTGTTTTTTGCATTTTAATTAGAAAACTATCGTAATAAATAAATATAAATAAATACATATTTGAAAATAAATACAAATATTATGAAAGAAAATTAAATTGTTGGTTAAAAAAGAAACGTACTTACAATTCGAAAACTGAACTGACGATGATGAGTAGCTATGGGGGAGGCCAGATCGTTACGTTACGATCTCGACCCTAAAAAACACTTTGGCAAAACAATTCTTAAGAGAGTTTCTCTCGCGCGCGCTCTTTCATTTCGCATATGATTTTTGAACGATAGCTTGTATATAGTACAGATAAAAAGCAACTTAAAAAACAAATTATAATAATGATTGTTGGATTTGGATACATACATATTTGTCTTGCGCTACGAAGAGATTTCAACAAAAAAAAAAAAAACAAATCTGTTACTAACCAGGCAGGCAACGTTTGTCGAGTTCAAGTTCCAATACTTTAAGTCTTTCTTTATAGTTAGATATAGTCTTTGTGGTATACTTAGCTATGGAATGGTGGGCGTGGTCGCCATGAGGCGTAATATATGTATAACTGTGTTACACTGTTAGTAATGTAGTTATGGAATAGAGCTGAAGAACTAACGTTTGGATATAATTATTATATAATACAAGTTTTAAAAAAATTGTATATATAAAAAGTATTTAAATGCGAGTTATTATACGAAATTTAGATTTGAAATAAAAATTATGAGCACCAAATTTATTGATCACATGTTTTAAAAATTATTATTCAAATAGTGGGTACCCCTAACTGAAACGAAATTAATTAATTTTAATAAACTTTAAGAAGCAACTTTAAAAAATGATACCACTTATTTGTAAATTAACTATAAGAAGCACCTCTAAAAAGAAATGTAGAAAATAATCAAAAATATTTTAAAAAATATTAAAAGTAAAAGGATATTGAAAATTTCTCTGGTTTTTCAGCTCTATTCCCGGACGGTTAGAAAGATGCGAGCAAAAAAGGACATTTTATAGTTTGACGCTAAAAACGAGTCTAATATTTCGGAAAGATATGAAAATCGCACCATTAAACCAAGTGGAACATTGTGTAGTATAAAAAGCGCAGATGGTACCAGCTCGAGGTGTGTAAAGTGTACATTTTTTGGATAGAACAACCAAAAGTGTTAGTTTAGATGAGATATATATATTCATTTATATATATGTATATATATATGTATATATGGTATGTATAGCGAGATAGAGAGACAGAAGGATGCACGAGCACAGAGGAGACTGTTGCGCTTAGAGGTATAACATAGATGATGAAAAGATGTGTGTTTATAATTTGTGTACGATACGAAGGTATGGAAATACGTTGTACAATTTACAGATAAAAAACATTTAGATAAAATAGATTTGTTGTGTGTGTGTGTATGTTGTGTGTGTGTTTTTTAAATAGATATCAATACATTTAAATATATTATATATTTAATGCTGTGTGTAGTATTTTTTTTTTTTGTGTGGATATGAATTAATCAATCAACCAACCAATCAATCAATCAATCAATTAACCAACCAACGCAGCAACCATTACGACAAGTTCAAAGTAATTTTAATAGAATTAATTATACAAAATGTACTTACATGGCTTGCATAGTTAATAACTCTCAACATTACGTTACGTGACGTTAACGCTTACGTTGACGTTAAACGTTTAACGTTAATGTGCTTGCAAGGCAGTACGTACTATGGAACTTTCATTTGCATTACCATTATCACTATAGATATCATAGTCGATGGGGAACATTTTGGTTGGAATGGTTAGGTGGGTAAATGTATGTAATGTGGGGGTATGTAAGTATGCTTATGTTGTTCGGGATTGGATGGATGGGTGTTTTTTATTTTTTTTTTTTTTTTTTTTTTGTTTTAAATATTATTTTCTTGTGGAAGGAACTTGCTTAGACTACTACGAGTAATACTTGCATAGTAAGTACAGTAATGTACGAGTACGTTTACGAGTATTGTATACATATCATATTATAATGGAATTTTGGCATTTACTTATCTTTCGTAATTCGCATTTGGGGCTACTTTTTTGTTTGTTTTTTTTTTTTTTTTTTTATGAAAAGTGAAGTGTACAAAAATACATACTGTAGTATAGAACTGTTTGTCGGCCCTGCAACTGGCATTTTGTTTATCAACACTCAACTGTACTGCACTGCAATTGTAATGTTAACTTTAATTTTGTTACTGCAACATTAGATTCTTTTCAATTTGATATATGTATAGATTTTTTTTTGTTTTGTTTACTTAGATTATTCATAAATGGTCACTGTGCTAGAGCTCGACTAAGTTTTTAATGTGTGAAGGAAATAGAGGCTTAGGAGGAATACTTAAGAGGTAGATGTTAGGAACAGTTTATGCAGCCCCGACTACCCTAAGCGGATTGTATACGAGCAGAAGCTGATAGCTGTCTGAAATTTTGTCAATGGAATCATATCTTAGAAGATTAAAGAGATCTCCAAAAAAAAGTTGGGAAAGTAAATGAAAATACACACAGATGTAGAATTCGAATTAATAGATAAGTTTGCATGATAATAATAATAAGAAAGTATAAATGTTAACTTGTACAATACTAAAACCCAACAAAAGAATTATTACAATTGTATACATTATTTAAATTTTAAGACAACATATAGGAAGAATATAATCTCCAATATAGACAATTTTCAACAATATATTACCACAGATTATTACATTAGAGAAAAAATTGTTTGGAGTTTAATAGTTTTTAAATAATAAAGAGATCAACTGTAATTGGAGTTATCTTTAAAGGCAAACAGTTTTATAACTATAACAATTGTCGATCAGTTCTCATTCGTATACAACCCTTGTATAAAGCTCAGATTTGAATGACTCATCTATATTTGCGCTTTAAATTAAATGAATTGCAAATGAGCTGTGATGATGATGATGATGAGCTCTACACTGGGGCGGTCAAAAAAAAAAAAAATGGTATATATCGACACGAGCGTGGCTAGACCCGAACATTCTGAATGGTTGGGTATAATAGTTGTCACCCTTTTAGAGAACGAGTTAAAAGTAGTTCTTTTTTTGTTTCTTTGAGAAAATTGAGAGATACAGCATTCAAGGATTTTAGTCAAATTGGAAAAGATGTCGTTGTTGGCAGCGAGCGCTGTACAGAGCGCTGGCCGCAGCTTAACACTTACCATGCCCAGCCCCGCGGCAGCGGCAGCAGCCGCCGCTGCAGCTGCGCCAGGATTGCCTGATTGACGCACCGCCTGGAGTTGTTGCAGCATCACAGCACGATTGAGATCTTCCAGTTGCTTGACCTGTTGCTGCTGCTGTTGTTGGGCCGCCTGTTGTTGTTGTTGTTGCTGCTGCTGCTGCTGTTGGTGTTGCTGTTGTTGCTGGTGTTGCTGTTGTTGCTGCTGATGGTGCTGTTGCTGTGCCTGCTGCTGCTGCTGTTGTTGTTGTTGTTGTTGCTGCTGCTGGTGTTGTTGCTGCTGCGCCTGCGCCTGCGCCTGCTGATGCTGGTGCACAGCGACGGCTTGAGCCACCTGAGCCGCCTGCACCTGGGCCTGCATGTGGTGCGCGTGCGCGGCCTGTACCTGTGCCACCTGAGCAGCCTGTGCGTGCGCGTGCGCCTGCGCCACGGCCACCAGAGCGGCGGTCTGTAAATAAATTTGGGAAGTATTTTGTTTTAAACCAAGCAGAAACTTAAGATTCTCGCTAGGCATTCTGAACTGTGTTCACAGTTCAGCTATATGTATATATCTTTGCAAATTCGAAATGCGCGCTCGCCGCTGCAATATTTTTTTTTTTTTTTTTTTTTTGATTATCTTTTTATTTTTGTGCTATTATTAAAATCTTAAATTGACTTAACTTGGTGTTAAAATTGAAAGCCGCCGTTCAGTTTTGTTGCCATTAATTTGTATGTTTAATTAAAAAATTGTACAGACATATATCATACTATATGCTAAATTGTTAATCTGGTTTTTATGTTGTTTTCTATTCCTTTAATTTTTTTTTTTTTTTTTTTTTTTTTTTTTGTAAAACTCTTTCCGTGTTCCATTGTCGGCCGTTTTCTGTGGTCGTGCACGCATTCTTCGAAATTGCAAAAATAATTGAACCAAAAGTCGCTTCATATGCGATAATAAGAAAAATAAAACTATATAATGTCCAGCGTATAGTTGCGTGGATGTATAATTGGAATTATTAAAATGCGCAACGCGTTAAACACGACACAGTCTCAGTTAATTTTGTAGATCTGCATCTGAATTGTTATGCATATATATATATAAATATATATATGTATATATATATATATATATGTGTGTGTGTGTATTAAATGTTGCAAGTGTTTCGCAATGTCTGTGTGTTTTTGTCTTTTGTACAAGTCCATGTCGGTGTCTGTGCGTCTGCGTCTGCTCATTTATATTGACTATGGTTTCTATAACTATGATAAGAACTCACTTCCTGTGCCTTGGAGATGGCCGTGCTGACAGCGATTGCGTTCGCGGCGGCAGAGCTGCCCGTTGGCGATATGCCGGACAGTGAGGGCGGTGGCGGCGTTGAAGGCATTGATGAGGCAGCGCTGCCTCCGCTTCCACCACCGATGCCACTAATCCCAACAATACCAGCAACACCACTACCATTGTTATTCATGGTTGGACTGTTTTTGGGCGCTGCAGCGGCTGCAACCAATCCGGCAGCTACGCGCGCCTGATACTTGGGCAGTCGTGCGCGCAACTCCTCCAGGCTGGCATCCTCCGCCGGATGCATTATCTTTGTGCTAACAGCGGCTACAACACTGCCACCGCCCCCGCCACTGCTGCTCGCATTGGGCACATTTGGCGGGCGTCCCTGATTGTGTGGATCGGGTGCAAGCGCGGGCGCAGCGTTTGACGCCGCCCCGCCGCCTACACCAGCACTATTGGTGGTTGGTGGAGCACTTATGGTGGCGTTGCTGCAAAATCATAATACATTATACATTATGGCCGCACAAACATCGTATTTATTTAAGCCCAACCTGTATGCCGGAAACGTGGGTTTCTGCTGGGCCATGGCAGCGGCATGTTGCTGCTGCTGTTGTTGCTGATGATGATGCACGGCTGCTGCGGCAGCTGCCGCTGAGGTGGTTGCCATTGCTGCTGGGAATATGGGTCGCGGTGGCATCATGTGCGGCATCATTGGCATCGGGTATGGAGGCAATGGCGGCATATGCTGCATCATGCCCATGCCATACTGACCCAACATATGTGGCGGCATCATATTGGGTGGCATCATCATGGGCGGCGGCACAGACATGGGATCTGCAAGGATACGTGATATATATTTATATGAAGCACTTAAAACGAAAGGCAGTAGCTGATGGAATTGGACTGATTTAACATAGGTTCGGAAGCTACAATTACAAATGGATGCATTTAAATCAAGGCTACAAAACAAACCACGAACTGCAATTCCATTTTTTAACGAGACGTTTCAGTTTAGATCGGAGTATCTCATTTTCTTAGAAAATCGGATTCCAACCCAACCCGTGGTAAGGGAAGATGTTGAACAAGCCCACGGCTAAAGCGTAGGCTCTCTATAAATTCTTTTTTTTTTTACTTTTTGGTTTGCAGCCATTGATTTAAATAATTTTCTGCGTAATTTTGGTGCTTACATTCAACTTTCTTCTTGGCAGCCGGCTCATCATCATCCGAGTCGGATTTGCCGCCATTCTTTTGACGCTCATGATCACGCAAATCCTCCGCTGGAATGCCGTCCATGCCAAATATCTCAATTTCAATGTTGGAGCGATTGGGCAGCGAGTTTGGCACTTTATCCACCGTTTCCTTATGCACCTGCATGCAATGTATGGAGAGGCCCGGACCCGTGTACAGCTTCTTGTGGCATATATGACACTTGAAGTGTTTCGCCTTCTGGTGCTGCACGAGAATTTTCTCATCGTCAAACTCGCGATTGCAGTACCTAAGTTAGTTAGTTAGTTATATGGGTTAAGGAAAGAACAAGATATTTTGAGGTTTTTCGGCGTTGCCGACTCCCACAACAACACTAGTCATTATATAAATGCATATGTGTGTGTGTGTGAGTAGATACAAATTTTTTTAGCGAGGCTCGCAGCGCACACGTAAAGGCGAAACGAGCACTGTAAAATTTTCATTTGATTTATTTGAAAAGGATACCAGCACCAGGGTTTGGAGGCCTTCTTCTTTTTACGACCCATTATATGAACTTTGCTTTAAACACTTGAATAAGACAAGGCGCTCGGTTTAATACTAATAAATTACGACTTTTTTGTACAAAAAAACTATTCTCAAGCGTCGTGTCGGTATCGGTATCGTGAGAAAACAAAATGGAGTGTGCCCTAGAGGTGAAATGCTTACGATGTCATAAATATAATGCGTCATCGATAGTTTGCTGTCACAATCGATTAATTTAGTTTTATAGCTAGGTGTGCTGAGTGTATCAGCATATGAATTTGGCTTATTTACTCTTTACATCTATTGCTAAAGTAATATAATATTACACCAAATTAATATTAATATAATTAATTTTTATGTACAATTTATCGATATATCGCTCGCGATATATCGCCGGCCCTCTGCTGCTAGTATTTTTTAAAGTTCCGATATAACAATCAGAAAAAATACTGACGTACTATCATTAAAAAGTATCGATTGGCGGCACTCAATGTGGCTACGCTGTAACGCCGGCTATCGATATCGATAAATAAACATTGTGCAGGTTTGCGAAACCGGCAAACGATTAAGATAAAATGGCTGATAAAAAGGTAAAAAAGCAATTAAACAATTATAAAGATTATGCATTTAGTTGCTTATCGCTTCCTAGACAGGTGGCAACAACGATGGCAAAGAGAAACGCCGCAAGGAGTCTATTCTGGATCTATCCAAATATCTGGAGAAGCAAATACGCGTCAAATTCGCTGGAGGTCGCGAGGCGTCCGGCATTCTAAAAGGTTACGATGCCCTCCTAAATCTGGTGCTAGACAACACCGTGGAGTATTTGCGTGATTCGGACGAGCCCTACAAACTGACCGAGGACTCAACACGCAGTCTCGGCCTGGTTGTATGCCGCGGCACAGCGCTAGTGCTCATCTGTCCGCAGGACGGCGTCGAAAGCATAGCCAATCCCTTTATCACGCAGTAAAAGGATATGCTGGCTGGGCTTAGGCTAAGGAAAAGTTCGCGTACAAAGGTTTATAAAAATACGTTTTGCAAGCATTTAAATTAATGAAAAATATTTATTTGTTGGCTGGCTCGAGGTCCGTGTTTGTTAAAACAAACAATGAAAAACAATTTTATTCAATTCTCTTCCGATATATTTCGGTTGCACATCGGCAAACCGTCTTCAGGGCACTAACACCAAGATACAAAAAACAATTAACAATTATAATACAATAAATTAAACATTATTTCGAACATTTTACATACATTATTTTACACGTCTGCGCTTTTTGACGTGGAGATTGTTACTGAGGTTGTTTGACTGTTTAAGAGGTGTCTGTACAAGTGAGCGCAATTTTCTGTGTCTGACAGAGTCAACAACTCCCAGATTAGAGAAGAGGAAACATTAGTATCTTTTGACGTAGTATCCTTATTTCCCAGCATACCAATAGAATTAGCACTTGACACAATAAGACAAAAATGGACCAAATTAGAAGAGCACACGAATATACCGAAACAACTATTTATGGACATAGTTAGATTTTGCATACAGGAAAACAGATATTTCAAATACGAAGACAAAATATACACACAACTTAAGGGAATGCCAATGGGATCACCGGCTTCCCCAGTAATCGCAGATATATTAATGGAGGAACTGTTGGACAAGATTACAGATAAATTAAAAATTAAACCAAGACTCTTGACCAAATATGTAGATGACCTTTTTGCCATAACGAACAAAATAGACGTGGAAAATATTCTAAAAGAATTGAATTCCTTCCACAAACAGATAAAATTTACAATGGAATTAGAAAAGGACGGGAAATTACCATTTTTAGACTCTATTGTAAGCAGAATGGACAACACACTCAAAATAAAGTGGTATAGGAAACCCATAGCCTCCGGACGAATACTCAACTTCAATTCAAACCACCCAAAGAGTATGATAATCAATACAGCACTAGGCTGTATGAATAGAATGATGAAAATATCGGACACAATATACCACAAAGAAATTGAACATGAAATCAAAGAACTTTTGACCAAAAATGACTTCCCCCCAAATATAATCAAAACATTATTAAAAAGACGACAAATCGAAAGAAAAAAGCCAACAGAACCTGCTAAAATATACAAATCACTAATATATGTACCACGACTATCAGAACGCCTCACAAACTCAGACTGTTATAACAAACAAGATATAAAAGTAGCACACAAACCGACGAATACATTACAAAAATTCTTCAACAAGATAAAGTCGAAAATCCCGATGATCGAAAAAAGCAACGTCGTTTACCAAATACCATGTGGCGGGGATAACAACAACAAGTGCAATAGTGTCTACATAGGTACAACAAAATCGAAGCTAAAAACAAGGATTAGTCAACATAAATCGGACTTCAAACTAAGACATCAAAATAATATACAGAAAACAGCACTTATGACCCATTGTATAAGAAGCAACCACACACCAAATTTTGATGAAACAACAATCTTACAACAAGAACAACACTATAACAAGCGACACACATTGGAAATGCTACACATAATTAACACACCAACCTACAAACGACTAAACTACAAGACAGACACAGAAAATTGCGCTCACTTGTACAGACACCTCTTAAACAGTCAAACAACCTCAGTAACAATCTCCACGTCAAAAAGCGCAGACGTGTAAAATAATGTATGTAAAATGTTCGAAATAATGTTTAATTTATTGTATTATAATTGTTAATTGTTTTTTGTATCTTGGTGTTAGTGCCCTGAAGACGGTTTGCCGATGTGCAACCGAAATATATCGGAAGAGAATTGAATAAAATTGTTTTTCATTGTTTGTTTTAACAAACACGGACCTCGAGCCAGCCAACAAATAAATATTGAAATATGGAAAGGTCGCCAGAGCCATCAATTAATGAAAAATATGTAACATAAATACAATTTAAAACTAAACAATTGGCTATTCTAGACCAAATTCGTTGCGTATCCAGGGATACTGTGCCGGGCACTCCATGCACGTATAAAAATAGCGATCCTCCTGCAGAACGCGACTGCGCACCTTGCAAACGTTGGGCATCTGGCAGACCTGCTCGTGCGGCTCCAGCTGTTTGGGCTGGCAGTGCCAGGGCTCGAATTGATGCAGCTGATTGCTGGGCGTGGGCTTGCGCATCCATTGTATGGCCTGCTGATTGGTCACAAAGTACACATCCGGCAACTTTTGCATGTCATCCAAAAATTTCTGCAGAAGACGCACTTAAGCACACACATTTACAAGACAGGAACTGAGTTTGATACCCACCAAAAAGGCATTCAAGTAGTCAATCTTCTTGAACCACGTGGAGTGGAAGTATAATCCGAATGGAGCACGATTGCTAAGATAATGACGCTTAAAATTGTACGTGAGCATGCGATACACATCCTCGCCAGTTAAATGCGGCGGACAGCTGTCGACCATGCCGCATGTGTATTCGCCAGCGCCCGCCTCCAGCTGATTCATGACAATCTCCCAAATGCCTGGATAACTGCGCGTCGGACAATTTTGATTGGCACCAAGGCAGCTGTGCGGCATCTTAAAGTCCAGCGTGTACGGCCACAGTGGTGGATTCGAGTGCGGCGCCACCATGGACGCATCATAGACAAAACCAAACTCCTTCATCATGAGAAACTGCCGATTCCAGCCGACGCGCAGGAAGGGTACCCGCATGCCCCGCAACTCCTCCATACGCACACTGGCAAATTTGTTAATAATATTCGCCTGGCCGACCATCTCATCAAACCAATCCTCAATGGTGGCATTCTTGGACCACCAGAGCTCTGGACCACGATGACTGCAAAGAGAAAGAAAATTCAATTGTAGTTGAGATTTCGCAATTAGCTCCAAGACTTACGTCACCGAATGCACGGCAATCTCGTGTCCATCGTTCCAGAGTTTCTGCACATATTGGTAGTTCGTATACGGATGCGAGACATAGAAAGTGCTCCGTATGGGACAACCATTCGGATTGCGTCGATTTGCAGTAAACAGAACTTTGGAGAAGAGCTCCCAGTTGTCATGGTTGACGGCATCATCGAAGGTCAGCAATATCATCTGTGGCACAGTCTGCGCCTGCAGATTACCGGGTATCTGGGTGCCATCCTTGGAGCAGAAGCAATGCGGCAGCTGACACTTGCGCGGATCACATGCACCGGCCGCATTCGGATCATGCTCGACATCGCACCAGCCCTCATCGGAGCCATCCGGACAGTCGACGGAGCCATCGCAAAAGTACTCCTGCGGCAGACAAGTGCCATCCGCACAGCCCAGCTGTGTCTCATCCGCACAGTCGGCCATCTCGAGCAGCGGCTTGGGCGCCGGCGTCTCAGCGCTAATATCACAATTATCCACATTCGCCTTAAAGTCACAAATCTGTCGCACCACATCGAACAGCAGACCCTCGGAGCACTTGAACTCAAATACCTCGCCGTCCAGACACAAGAAATACTTGGCGCACTCGCTGTTCGTCCAAATCTTGTGCACCGGTCGATTGGGATTGCGATAGAAGCGTGCATCGTGCATACAGACAGCGCTTGAGCTGGAGCGTCTATGTCGACTGTGATTGCCACCAGCGCCCGCTGCCCGCTCCGGTTCGTTGGCATTGTCTGCAAAGCAGGTCGTGTGTGAGATAGCTTCATATCTAATTACCGCCAAAACTAATTAATACGTTGACCCAAAAAAAACCAAAGAAAAAACGAGCTGCTCACGTCCACATTTGGCAGGGGGTTTGCCCATTGCCGCAATAATCTTGGCTAGCGCCTAGATCACGCAGCCCATATCAGACCGGCGAGCAGGGGCTACAATGGAGTGCTGCGACTAGGTCCTAAGTTTTAAGCAACGGTTAGATGATATATATGTAAGATGTAAATGCAGGACTAGAATTAATTCATGCCGCCTTAAATTTATAATTAAATTGTAATTATATACTCTTTAGTTTTCGAAACAAGGCATACGTGACGTGACACACTTTACGTGACAAATTTGGACTTCGAAAAATGTACACGCGATTTGATTGTATAATTTTAGATTAACAAAAATATCCATATGAAAGCTAACCAATTCAATGCTCTCTATGCATTCCGTTTATTTATGTGCAGCAAAAGATTTGGGAATGTACGAACTAGAAAAGGAATTAAGTTAGGTTCGGGATCGGTTTATAGGTTAGGTTTTGCTTTGAATCTATTTCTTCTAGCTTAATTATGTAATCTGTAAGCGAAAGCTCTAAGAACAATATTATTTTGCTTGGAAATAGTTTGTTTTTAGCTAGAGTCCAATTTTCTCATATGCAAATCTTCGAGATGCCACATGGGGGCTTTTTATAGATGCTTGGCTACGCCCCTGTATCCAAGCCAATTTTGGTAGCAGCCAGTCAATTGCGTTTGCAACACACACACACATTTAGATACATATACACACGCACAGTTGATTTGGCGGCATAGCTGGAGCAGATCGTAACTCAAGAGATTGGGCAAGCGACGCGTGTGTGTAAAATGCAAGATGCGATCTCAAGATTTGTTACAATTGTGTGTGTGTGTGTGTGCAGATTGCGTGTATAGAAATCAGTGTGTCTGTGTGTGAGGTGGCAGCTGCAGCATTTAGAAAGTAACAGTTAAAGCATTTTTTTTTTTAGTTGCCAAAGCTTGGTTAAACAGCGGGTCAGGAAAATTTTCAGCAACTGTCATTTGGGGTTCAATGCACAGGCGGCTGCCCCCAGTTGATTATGTAACAAACAGATCAACAACTTTCACACCCGAAGCGCGCGCCTGCGCATGCGCATGCCAATGACAACAACAACAGCAACAAAAAAGCAGCTACAACAACAAAACGCACCCAATCAAAGTCAGGTAGTAAATTTGGTGTCAAACAAAAGAGCGAGAGAGCCAGAGAGAGAGAGAGAGAGAGAGCGGTAAATTTACCAATGCTTGTAGCATGCGACGACATAATCGCGAAGATGACCACAAAACCAACAACAATAAGTGCCATCGATTTTTGCATAGCTGTTAATGTGCAGCGCCCATAACGGTTTCGTTTGTGAGCGTCGACCTTGACTGTGAAACCCGTTCGGTTATTTGAATTTCCCTGCGGGCGCAGCATTTTATGCTGATTTCCAGTTCTTTTGTCGGTTTTATTTTTATTTTTATTTTTTTTCAAATGCGAAATTGCAACCGGCGTGTACACAAATTCAAGTTGCGCGTGCGCAGCGACCGCAGCTGCTGAAGATCGAAACAAACTGAAGCCATGGGCGCTGCAGACCAGGCCATATATATCAGAGCTTATATGTATCACAGTTGTAATGCCCGGCGCGGGAGAAAGCTCTCTTTCGTTGAGTTAGTTTTTTTATATGAATACTTTTCCTTCTAATTGTACATGCAATTATTTTAAATAAATAAATAAATAATATACCAGATTTGCATGTTTGTTTTAAAATCAGTGTAAACATAATTATCGAACGGCGCTACTACACGATATTGTTTATATTCTAAATAGAGTGCATAATTTCTTATCGCTTATCGTTAATGCAGCATGACTTTCTCAATTTTCAGCTAAATACTCAAATAAGAGTAGCCTTGCGCCAGTACTCTAATTACGAGCTTACATTTAATTGTAATTGTTTAGTTGCAAGCAGTTTCATCTAGAGTAACAAGCAAAAATATTTCTACATCAATTAACGAATTTGTAATTCAATTTGAATTGTGCATTTAAATTGCAACGAACAAAAACGTTTATTTGCACGGAGGGCTGCCAACTCGCTTTAAACTCGGTGAGTTTTAGTTAACGTAAATGCCGCTAGAGGCATAACTCAGCGCATGCAACCGTGCCGTAGCGTCATATTTTATTTTAGCGCCAGGAGACGCGAACTGTTTTAAGGATTTTAAATAGTTTCTCTCGTTATTGTGACAGAATTTTGTTAGCGAAATGCGACCCAGCCTGGGTACGCCACAGGCTCGCGGCGGCTGTCGCACCAGCGGCGCCGCACGCCTAACACAACAGCAGCAGATGAAGGCCCAGCAGGAGGCCGCGGATGCCGCCGCACTGGACGCTCTCGACGAGGCGCTAATCTTTGACGATGAGGAGGGCGGCACACGCATCGGTGATATATATATACCGCCGCCGGTGCCGCCGCATTGCTCCATGGAGAGCGTCGGGCCGCGTCTGATCATAAAGCGCATTGTCAATTACAATTTCAAGAGTTATGCCGGCGAGGTGGAGCTGGGTCCATTTCATCATTCCTTTACCGCGATTATTGGGCCCAACGGCAGCGGCAAAAGCAATGTAATTGACTCCATGATGTTTGTCTTTGGCTGTCGCGCCAATCGCATTCGTTGCAAGAAACTCTCGACACTGATACACAATTCCAAGGCCCATCCCAATCTGAACAGCTGTTCGGTGGCCGTACACTTCGAGCAGGTGGTGGACAAGGGCGATGGCCAGAGTGAGCCGGTGGCGGGCTCACAGTTCTATGTGCGCCGCACAGCCATGTCGGATAACTCGTCCTATTATCAGATAGACAATCAACGTGCCCAGCTCAAGGATGTGGCCAAGCTGCTGAAGAAGCATCACGTGGACCTGGAGCACAACCGTTTCCTTATACTGCAGGGCGAGGTGGAGTCCATAGCCATGATGAAGACCAAGGGCCAGAACGAGAACGAAACGGGCATGCTGGAGTACCTGGAGGACATAATTGGGACACAGCGCTATATACGGCCGCTGCAGCAGATCAATCAGCGTGTGGATCAGTTAACAGATGACCGCACGGAGAAGCATAATCGCTGCAAGCTGGCTGAGCGTGAAATGAAGGATCTGGAGCAGCCGTTCAATGAGGCCGTTGAGTATTTGCGCAAGGAGAATGAATACATGCGCACCAAGAACTGGGTGACACAGAAGTACATAAGCATTAAGAAACAGAAGCTGGAGGAGTATACCAAGGAGCATGAGCAGTGCAGCGTGGAGCTGAAAACCCATGACGAGGGCACCGATGCCCTGAAAAAGGAGCGTGCCGAAAAGGAGCTAATTGTGCGCAAGGAAATTGAGTGGGTTGCTAGTGCGGCACAGACCGAATCCTTCGACTCATATTTGCCATTTCTATTTGCAGAGCCTACGAGGCGCTGGTCAAGCAGCGCGAGGACATCAAGAAGAAGCTGGTGGGCGCGGAGCGCAGCTACACAGAGGTCCAGAGCGCCATGGAAAACACCAACAAACAGCGCAAAAAGGACAAGACGAATATTGATAAAAATGAGAAGGAGCTCGAAGAGCTGCATAAGTTGCCAGAGAAAAATGCCAAGGAGATCGAAGAATGCCAGCATAAATTGGAGCGCCTGGAAAAGGAGAAGCTCACACTGAACGAGGAGCTGGAGAAGCAGCTGACACTGCTCAAGGAGCAATCCGAGCCGCTAACCGAAAAGCGTCTCAAGTGCAGCGATGAGCTAATTGGACTCAAGGAGGCCGTCAACACGGCACGCGAGGAGCTGCAGGTGCACGAGTCCAAGCTGAAGATACTAAAGCAAGTGGAGACCACCGAAGCGCGCAAATATGAATCACTCAAGAGCTCCTACGAATCGGCACAGCAGAGCCTGCAAAACATGACCACCAAATTGGAGGAGCTTAGCACAAATATGCCGCAGCTGCAGGAGGAGATACGCACCAAGTCTGCGGAGGTGGAAAAGCTGGCCAAGGAGGAGCGCAACCTGGCCATGCAGTGCGGCAAGCTGCGCGAAGAGGTAGCCCTATCCGCTTATAGCTGTTATCATTTGTCTAACAATTGCTCCTTTTCCTTGTCAGATCAACGAGCGCTCTTCCAATATGCAAGCGCAACGTTCCAACGACAAAGTCCTGGACTTTCTGATGCGCATGAAGGCTGAAGGCAAAATTCCGGGCATACTTGGACGCCTGGGTGATTTGGGCGGCATTGATGCCAAGTATGACATAGCCATATCCACGGCCTGCGGACGCCTCGATAATATTGTGACGGACACCTACGACACCGCCACGGCTGCCATCAAGGCTCTCAAGCAGCATAATGTGGGTCGCGCCAATTTTATACCCCTCAATCGCATGGAGCATTGGCGCAGCAAGTCGCATCGCATTAACACGTGAGTTCGAATACTTAACTAGAATTGTTACATTATTGAATATAATAATTTATATATATAAATAGTCCCGAGAATGTGCCGCGTCTTTACGATCTGGTGCAGGTGGAGGATGAACGCGTCAAGACCGCTTTCTATATGGCATTGCACAATACTCTGGTGGCCACGGATCTGGAGCAGGGTTCACGCATTGCCTATGGCCGGGAACGATTTCGTGTGGTCACGCTGCGTGGCGAGATTATCGAGCAGGCGGGCACCATGTCCGGCGGCGGCAATAGACCTGTGCGCGGCAAAATGGGCACCCAGGTGCGCACCAAGACCGCCGAATCTGCAGACAGCTCGCTGATATCGCAACAGGCACTGGAGGATATGCAGGTGCGGGCCGAGGAGCTGCAGACACGCATCAACTACTGCCAGGAGCAGCAGGGGCGCCTGGAGTATGAGATACAAACGCTGCAAAAGAATCTCCAGCGCAGTGAAACGGAACAGAAGCGTCTCACGGTGAGCATCAAATCGCAGGAGCAGCAGATGGCCAGCAGCCTAAAACAGTGCGAGACGCAGCGCAAACGCATGCAGGCCCATACCACAGACGAGGGTGCCGTCCAGGAGCTCGAGGCGCACATAAAACGTGCCGCAGAGCAGCTGCAGCAGCGCGTGGAAAAGGAGCAGGCCATGTCCAGTCAAATCAGCGAAGTGCAGGCTGAATACGATGCGCTGCGCTTGAATACAGTGAAGCCCGTGGAGGCCAAGCTGAAGAAGGCAACCAGCCAGATCGAGAAGCTGGCCAGCAATATACGCAGCCTGAATGTGGCGCTGACCACCGCGGAGCGCAGCATTGAGCGTCTCAAGAATAACAACAATAATCTGCGAGAGAATATTAAAACGGCGGAGGACAAGCTGCGCACCCTCAACGAGGAGCGACAGCAGTGTCAGGAGCGCAAGAATGAGCTGGAGGAGGAAGCGTCTAAGGCCGAGGAGGCCATCGGTAGCGCCAAGTCGCAATCGTCGGACATAAAGAAGGCAATCGATGAGCTGAACAAGCAAGAGAATCAACGTAATCTGGCACGCATTGAGATTGAGACCAAACTGCAGGCGGCTGCAGCCAAGATGAACGAGGTGAAATCGGATATACCGCGTTGGCAGGCGCAGCTGAAGCCGCTCAAGCTGAATGAAATACCCGGCGAAACAGAGCCGCCGGCACCGCTCAAAACGCTCAACGAGGAGGAGCTGCAGGCGAATAATCTGGAGGACATGCAGTACAAGCAGACGCTGCTTGAGGAACAGCTGAAAATTAAGCCTAATTTGGGTTTCATCAAGGAGTTTACGGACAAGCGTTTGGTTTATTTGGATCGCGTGCGCGTTCTCGAGGACATCACCTCGAAACGTAACGAGATGCGCGACAAGTACGAGGAGGTGCGCAAGCGTCGCTATACGGAATTCATGGAGGGATTTAACATAATCACACGCAAGCTAAAAGAAATGTATCGCATGATTACGCTGGGTGGCGATGCTGATCTGGAGCTGGTTGACTCCATGGATCCATTCACCGAGGGCGTACAGTTCACTGTGCGTCCGCCCAAGAAAAGCTGGAAATACATCTCGAATTTGTCTGGCGGAGAGAAAACGCTCTCCTCGCTTGCCTTGGTCTTTGCCTTGCATTATTATAAGCCATCGCCATTGTATTTTATGGACGAGATCGATGCCGCCTTGGACTTCAAAAACGTCTCCATTGTAGGCCATTATATCAAGGTAAGAACTGCTGCTCCTGGCACTAATTGCTCGCGTCTACAACTTGCCTTCTCTTTTAGGAGCGCACCAAGAATGCCCAGTTTATAATTGTTTCGCTGCGCGTGAACATGTTCGAGCTGTCCAACTATCTGGTGGGCATTTACAAGGTGGATGACTGCACAGATTCGGTTACCCTGGTGAATCATCCGCCCGATCCTTTGCCGCCGCCAACCCAGCCACGTATGAATGTCACGCAAATGGAGGATGTTACGCTGCGCCTCGCCGCACCAAACGGCGAGCTGGAGGCAACGCAGCAACAGCTGGAGGCAACGCAGCAACAGCTGCAGGCGGAAATAGAATCTAGAATGTGCGGCCGGGATACAACGTTTGCGCCGCGGCTCGAGAGCACAGCGATCACGCATGTGGTGCAGGAGGAGATTAGTGTCAATGAAGTGGCCGCTGGCGCCAGTGAGATGTCCATTCAAAGTCCGCTAGCCGCCGCAGCGCCCATAAATGCCTAGGAGCCATCTAAAAATAACATAATTAATATTAATAATATCTATACGCATAACTTTAATAAACAGTACAAATCATAATAAACAATAAACTAGACTAGAGGCTGCTCATGATCTTGCTGCAGATGGTGGCCAGCGCTTCGGTGGTCTCGTTGCGCATGGCTGTTATATCCTCGCCGGCATCGCAGGAGCGTGTCACGAGCGGATCGAGCGGCAGTGAGCCGAGCAGCGGCACATCCATTTCGATGCACATGGCCGCTGCGCCACCCGTTTTGGCGGGAAAGATCTCGGAGCTGTTGCCGCAGTGTCCACAGCGGAAGCTGCTCATGTTCTCAATGACGCCCAGGATGGGTATGCGTTGCTTTTTACAGAAATTAATCTCCTTGCGCACGTCCAGCAGCGCCACCTCCTGCGGCGTGGTCACAATAATGGCGTGCAAGGATTCGGGCGCGTTGTCGTCGCGCAAATACGAGACCACGGACAAATGTTCATCCGATGTACCCGGCGGTGTGTCCAGCAAGAGCAAATCCAGATTTCCCCAGTCCACCTCGCTGAGAAACTGTCGTATCATGCCGTTCTTTTTGGGCCCGCGCCATATGACGGCATCATCCACAGAGCCCAGCAGAAAGCCTATGGACATTAGGCACACATTGTCGTCTATGCCCACCGGCGACCAGCCTGAGCCGGATTGATGCACATTCTCGCCCAGGGCGCCCAGCAGACGCGGCTGCGATGGCCCACAAATATCAATGTCCAAGACGCCAAAATTGTTATCGGGATAACTGCGTGCCAAGTAGCGTGTCAGCAGCGTGGTAACCGTACTCTTGCCCACACCTCCCTTACCGGAGAGAATCAGCAGCTTGTGCTTGACATCTTTCATGGCGGCGGCAACCAGCGCCTTGCCGGGATCCTCAAGTTTCTTGCTGGGATCACTGCAAATGCTTTGATTGGGGCAGCCGGCACAGGCGCTGACAAGGCCGGCCTGTTCGCTCTCCACGCCAGGACAGTGCTCGGGCGGCGGTGCTTGCATTTTATATTTTTCAATATCTATTTATGCGTTGTGAAATGGCAATGAAACATAAACCAAGTGCAGTTGATAAAGCGACTGTCGACGTTCTGGGTGAATGCCAAATGACTGGCGCTTTCAAGCAATTCGATCACGATTCGATATCGATAGTCGATAGCAAAAACATCGGGCAATTAATTGAACAGCAAACTGTGAAAATGGCAATGTTCAATATATTTAGGCTAAATACAAAAAATGATTTCATTTAACTTCAAAATATGAACTTTAGCTTTAAGCAAGTGCCTAAAGAGATTGCTGGTCACCGGAGCAAGATAAACACCAGCTTATCTATTTGAATGTATCCTCAAATAACTGGAATTCAATAGTCCAGCTGTTGTCATACCAAAATCCAAATCTTTTATTTTGCTTTAATGTGCATTTAAAATGCTTAAAATAAGATTATCGGCCACTTGATTAAGCGGCAGCATTGTAATCGATTAAGCTCTTGGAACTGATTTGATCCAGATGGCGAACCCCATTCTTATCCACAACCGCCACATTAAAGTTTTTCAAGTTAACAATCAGACGTTTCTGAATTTCCAGCACACACTTCTTTAGCACATCGTAGGCCTCCTCCTGGGTGATATTCGGATGCCAGTAGCGATCGAATATGCTGGAGCAGAACATGCTGCCGTAGCCATGACCGGCATAATTCACAGACTGTGCCGACGCCAGATAATCAATGAATGTCAGTTCGGGGCCCTCAGCGGGATCGTAGCTAATATAAGAATTAACTATGAATCAAGCGTCATTTAAATTAAGTTCAATGGGACTCACCCGGCAATGAACATGAACACCTGGTAGCGTGTGCGACTACGCAGACTTTCCGCCAGGTTTTTGCGAGTGAAATGTGCAGCCGAATGTGGACTTAAATCGTAGCCATTGCGCATTTTGTACAATGCAATGTTCTTCGCAATAAACTCGGTGAACTGCTCGGTGTCGCCAGACTCGCCAACCGTTGAAATTAACAAATTATCCGCCACCTTATGGATTTTGTTCTCATCTACAAATTATGATGCGAGAATTTTTGTTAAAATCGAACCCGATAATGCACGCCGCTAAATATTTTACCTTCTTTCATAACGACTACAGAATGGGCGTGAGTTGTGTCTGCTGCTAGCATAACAAAATCAGGTCCCTTAATGCCCAGAAGTGTTTCCATTTTAGAATTGTGATATTAATTTTACTCCGGCTCGTTGTTAGGATGACTTGAGTAAATTTTCTCCTGTAGTTGTTTCACGACAAAGTGGTGGTCGGGCGATTTAGTTTCGATAGCAGCCGAGACACTTATCGATACTTACGCATCGTTTCGATATTGGCAACTAAGAGTAAGTGTGACCAGACAACGCTAGAGAAGACATAAAACTATCGATAGCGAGAACAAGATGTTTTAAATAACTGTAAATCAGATAAATACTTTAGGTTGCTTCAAAAAAAAAATGGAACTTGAATTAACTTAGTGAAACTCAAATTAAAAACGAAAGTGATAGTTGTAACTAGTATCATTTCTATTGTTGGACAAATGTTATGAATAGTTTTCAAATAGTGCGGCTCGGGCCATTCGCAATGCGTTCCGCTAGACCGAGCATCAGTTATGGCGCCAACTTCTTGGCCTGCCTATAAAATGTAAATGCCATGTGAAATGAGGCCGAGCGGTAAGTAAAGAAGAAGAAGAAGCAGAAAAAAACAATTGTACTTTTAAGTTTGCAGTGGCAATTAATTGCATTGCCTTTCACCTGGCGCCCCAAACAAATGCCACACAGATTCCCAGCACCGAAAAATCATTTAAAATGCCATCGCTGGGGTCGTCCCCAAGTCAAAGGTGGGTCCGTTGGCCATGATTGCAACATTTTGCGTTTGCTACTCCATTTTCCGTCTCGCTTGCGCAGCAGCAGCAGCGGCGGCAGCGGCATCAGCTTACAAACAAAAGTTTTTCCATTTGCAACAAACATTTTCCATTTGCCGTCAACAACGCCGCAGCGCAACGTCGCACTTTTCAGTTGCAGTTTGTCGTTCACGACACGCGCTCGTTTTTACAGTTAGCAGAGTTTGTTTTTTTTTTCACTCCTACTAATAGTGTTAGTTTAATTAGGCACGCTTGTTGTTGTTTAAACATGCTTTTGTAATATGGCATAGAGAATTGTGTTTTTGCGAAATCAACGTGAAAAGAGGTAAATTGTTTATAATTTTACACATTGTGAAAAGTTTACAATTTTTTGTTCGCTGTGGCAATTGCTTTCGATTATGCGGCTCTTATCAGAAACAACCAAATTTGTTATTGTTGATAAAGCTAGACGAGCACGGCGCTCTGAGTGGCTTTCTATGCCCTATACTAAAGAGGGTAGTGTAATTATGTCATGCAGTTTGTAACGCTGTTTATATATAGAAAGAGAGAGAGAAGGGAGAATAACAGTATATAGCCTTGTCTGTTTCTGTGCGCAAGAGAGAGAGATAGAGAAGGGAAAATAACAGTATATAGCCTTATCTGTTTCTGTGTGTGTGAGAGAGAGAGAGAGAGAGATAGAAGGGAAAAGAAAAGTATATAATCTTGGCTGATTCTGTAAAAGAGAGAGAGAAGGAAGAAGAACAGTATATAGTCTTGTCTGATTCTGTAAAACAGAGAGAAAAGGGAGAAGAACAGTATATAGCCTTGTCTGATTCTGTAAGAGAGAGAGAGAGAGAGAGAAGGGAGAATAACAGTATATAGCCCTGTCTATTTCTGTGTGTGAGAAAGAGAGAGGGAAGGGAGAAAAACTGAATGAATATAGCCTTGTCTGATTCTGTAAGAGAGAGAGAGAGAGAAGCGAGAATAACAGTTTATAGCCTTATCTGCTTGTCTGTTTCTATGTAAAATAGTCTCAGTTTTAAATGTGTGTTTAAACCTTTTTGTACTTCAAGATATTATATTTCACTTAACAAACTATCTCCAATATCAGACTACTTTTCAATCTGTATTGAATATATGTATCGAAAAAATTGGCCGGCTTCTTCCCAATTATGTGCAAGGGTATCAAATCTTCGGTCTGTCGCTTACTCTTGTTGCCTTTAGTGGGCGGTCTTGTGTATTGCGGGGCGTGTGCGACTCTAATTAAAGCTGACAATTGAAATACGAAAACTATTCGATTTCAAAAAGCGGCTATCTTCAGATATATCTTGAGGCAGCAAATTGCACTCGATATCTCGACTGGCTATCAACGACCTTGTCATCGAGTTGAAAGAAATGCGTTTAAAGGCATTCGAGCTGTTGTCATTAAATCTGGTTAAGGCAAAAAAAACGTGGCAAACGTTTACGTTAAAAACTTAACAATTTGTCTGTACGAAGCACAACTAACAAAAAAAAAAAAAAAAAAGAGAAAAACACGTTTGTTCAGCTGTGAAATTGACCTTTTATGGCCCAAAAGAAATGCAACTTAGTTTTGTTGTTGCCAGTCCAAACAAAAAAAATAAGCGGAAATACATTGGAGAAATGTTGCCGAACTGGAGCAGACGATAATAGGGCCCATCGTAGAGCCCACTTAATGCAGAGTTAAATGTAACTAATTTGCTTTAATTTTAGTAAAAGCGATTTTTTTTTTGTTAACATTCAAATGACTTTTCGAGCGAGAAGCCTTAGCACATGTGCTCTTTTCAATTTGTTAAGTGCTTTATCATCATTTTCTTTTCTACCTGGTCTCGCATTTCTCGGCTCGAGTTAAGCGAATCAGGTTTTCCGCATTTGCCAATCTACCCAAGTCAGAATTTATCTTTAAGAACTAGCCATTCTTTATCAATGTTTATATATCTGTAAAAGTTGATAAACTTATTTTTCAGTATTTACGATTTGCATTTTCTTATATTTTCGATCTGTTAATGAATGCAGAATTATTTTTTCGAAATTTATCAAAATATTTAACTAAATAAATTTTTATTATTTCATTTTTATATTCATTTTTTTATTTAAAAAAAGTGTTGAAAATGGTTGAACTTTTCTTTGAAATGCATATTTTTTGTTATTTTTAAATGAAATTGAATATTTAAAAAAGAACGTCTGGTAATTGCCAGAAAGGAAAAAAAATACGAAATGTTTAACCGATTTAAGAGCTCTTCAACGATTTCCCACACAGATCGCATTACAATATCGTGCGACTTACAGCTGTTGCACAAACAGTGTTAGGGTATTCAAGTTTTGGCTTTAACCTTATATGAAATATTATTGTTTCACACTAGCTTTGATTTTGCCATCAGATTTTAGTTGCAATTTGACACAACTTAGGTAAACACTTTAGCCTCAGTTTAAAACCTTTGCATCGAAAACATAAAGTATAAATTACAACTTATTTTTCATTCAATTTTAATTAATTTGAAGTTGTTCAGCGAATTCTTGTGGAAAGCGCAGACTAATTGATTGCACCTAACTGGGCCAACAAGCTGTGGCAATATGCTGCTAGACAAATTACAGGGGGCGCCCGACGGGTGGGGGGGCTTGAGTCTGCACCCGTGTGTGTGTGTGCACAGCTGTTTTGATTAGTGTTCACACCACAAGACTTGGCCTTCAGCATTTACGCAACTAGAACACACGCAGATTGATAGCTACAAATATCCCTATATATATATATATATATATACTCATATCGATAGCCGAGACAGCAACCACAAGCGCGGCAACCGCAAATAATGGGAATTTCATAATTTGCCACAAGCAGATCGCGACATGCGATCGACAACAAATTTCACTTTTTATTGGCCAACTAGCAAGGTGGAGGGGGGGGGGGGGGGGTTGTTGCACTATTTAGAGGGTTGCTCATTAATTGTTGAGCCGAAGAAAGTTTTAATTACTGGCGAGATTGGCGAACGTTTAAGATAATGAAGCATTTAAGACGCGCATTCATTTCAGCAAAATTGCTCAATTTTGAAAGTGCAGCAGCAGCAACAACAACAACAGGCAATTGCATTAATTTGCATTTTATATTTTCACTTTTGTTTTTGTTATTGTTTTTTTTTTAGCAACAACAACAAAGGCCACAGCAGCAGCGCCAGCGATGACGTCGTTGCTGCCACGGGATACGTCACCAATGGAGCCAAAGGAGCAGCCATCTGCAGCGCCCACACGCATACCACATCCGAACGCTAAGGCTGTTCCGTTTGTTCCATTGCGGCGTTCCGCCTCCATGCGCTTGCGCGGCACAAAAGCGCATCCACAGCACATTGGCAGCGCCGGTGAATTCAGTACGCGCGTCCAGCTCTCCGGCAGCACAACGAACGCGCGCCCATTGTGCGTCCAGCCAGTTGTGCCATTCACGCGTAATCACAGCTGGAACAATTTGGGCCACAGGCAGACGGCCAACAACACGGACTCAACGCATTTCCATGCATTATGCAGCGGCGACACCGAATGCCTGGCCCTAGCAGACCAGCTAACTGAGCTCCAGTTGATTCCCAGTCCGGACATGGACGCCTCCAAGTCGCGTAATATGGTAAGTTGTGCCTGGTTGTCGTCAAATGTGTCTTGGCATACATTTTGTCGTATCGATTTTTTATCATTTCTAACCCCCACCAAAGTCATCGCTGACCTATGTAAGTTGAAAATAGAAAAGAATGAAAAAAAGAAAAAAAAAACGCCCCCGCCTGCGCACGTAACACGCCTGTCAATACAATTGCCCGCTTTCATTACGAAACGACACCACCCTGTGCGGTATTTAACAACCCTGCATTTGCATACGTTTTTTGTCACCACATGGGGCAGTTCTCTACAATTTGTGCCATGGGCTTGTTAGACTCAGAGAGTATTCGATTTTGACAATTACAAAGAGTCAATATATAAAACCATATTGCATTAAATTTTCTTTTATGTTCAAATATGTGCAACGAACAAATTGTTGTTTTTTTTCTTAATTTTCCTTTTGCTTTTAATTATAGAAATTTTTGCACAACAAATAATTTTTTGTGTAGATCATTTTAAAAAAAAGTCCATAAAGATATTTGTATTTCTACTCAATTGGGTTTTTATTTGTGCTCACAAAAGCAAATGCTTTTGGTTCTTTAATTTAGGTGTAGCGCATCTGCAAGTCGACCACGCTGTCTGTATCTCTACTCAAAGTACCTGCAGCGCTTTAGGCGCCCAGCGTAAAGTTCAGTTTGAGTTTATATCGCATATATATATATGTATACATAATTTATGATGAAGTAATTTTCTATTTAATTATATATTACATGTTTTTTTGTAATTGCAACAATTTGTGCTAACTACTCTTCGAATCGAATACGAACATATTCAACATATGCATAACCAATCACTGTAAAACTGTATAGCTTGGCTTACAGTTTGAGTGCCATTGCCAGTTACTTGTCGTTGTTATTGTTGCGCTGGGCTTCAGTTTTGCATAATGGGTCAGCCAAAACAATGTAAACGGAATAGCCCAGGGCAGCAGCTGTTTCAATTCCATTGTCGCTCTGTTCCATGCCCAAACCGTAGCAAAGGGAACGCGAACAGCTGAGCGGGCGGCCAACAAGGAAATGCAAGTGCGCGGCGCAGCTTTTGCAAATATTGACAGGAGCGAGCACACACACACACACGTACGCAAAGGCAGGCACAGCTACACATGCACAAGTACCGTACCTTTTCAACCACCCTCGCTGCCGCACTCTCTGCCCACGTATCTCTAGCCCCAACTCATGCTCTTCGTTTTTGAGGGTTCATTTTGTTTTCGTTTGTTGTTCTTGCTTTCCACTTGGTTTTTTTTGGCATCTTCTTCATTTTCTCTGACCCATGCGATTTGCGTTTCAGTTGATTTTTTATGCTCAACGCGAACGCATGCAAAAGCAAAAGCTCGCCGCTCTTCCCTTTCCAATTGCGATTCGCGCTTTTCGCTTTGTTATTGTTTAAACAAAGTTTCGACTGGCGTGTGAATGCCTTTAAGTATGTCTTAAGTCATGTATACGCATATTTAACTACGCTTATGCATG